GTGGGCGGGGAGCGGGACCGGGAGGGGCACCCCGGGTGTGGGCTGGGCCGGGCCGGGCGTGGTAAGGGGCGGGAGTCTGGTGTGGGGATCGCACGGTCTCCGCCCTCATCCTGCCCGCATTTCAAAGGTCTTGCCTGCGTTCCCGAAGAGCCCGAGGACCTTCTGCTTTCCCGTAAGGAGGTGACGCCACTGACTTGCGCTAACAGTTGCACTTGTGTACCCTGACCCCACGTGACAGCTGAGACCCGAGGCTCAGAGAGGTCAGGATGCTCAGGGTCCCGCAGGAGTCCGTGGAGAGCGGGACCCTACCTCGAGGACACTTCTTTTCCCTTCGGGTCTTTATTGAGGACCTGCTGGGTGCCCGGGGCTCCGCTGGGCATTGAGTCACCAAGACCCAAGTCTTGTCCTTCCTTATGAGGAACGAAGGGAAAGTTAACTGGCTGTGACACACAGCGTGATCAGTGAGGGAGGGGAGCTGGGACTCCGCACAGGGGCCCCCAACCCCGCCTGGGGGGTGGGGCGAACCAGACCTAGACCTTCCGAGTCCGGAGGGACCTGGAGGACGGTGCGTGCGCGCGCCCCCGCGCGGCGCTTTCCTGCTCTGCAGCCGCCCGACACGCGCCGGGGCAGGCCTGGCTGGGCCCTTTCCTGTTCAAATGAGGGTTAGGAGAGCAGGAGGGGGCAGGCCAGGAGAACCGGGTGCGTGAAGATCTGCAGGGGAGAGGCCAGTGTCTCCCTCCATATTGTCCTGGCTCCCAGGAGCAAATGCTGAGGCCTGGAGGTAAACAAGGCAGATAGCCCTGGGGAGACCCCACACTAGTGTGTGTGTTTTTTAAAGGTGAAATTCATATAAAAAAAACCCCTAACCATTTAAAAATGTACAATCCAGTGGCATTTAGCACATTCACAGTGTTGTGCGACCACCGCCTCTACCAAGGCCCTGGGGAGACCCCACACTAGTGTGTGTGTTTTTTAAAGGTGAAATTCATATAAAAAAAAACCCTAACCATTTAAAAATGTACAATCCAGTGGCATTTAGCACATTCACAGTGTTGTGCGACCACCACCTCTACCAAATTCTAAAACATATTCATCTCCTCAAAAGAAATCCCTGTACCCATTAAGCAGTCACTCCCTATGACCCCCTCTGCACAGATCCTAGCAACCACTAATCTTCATTTTGTCTTATGGATTTACCTATGCTGGACATTTCATGTAGGTGGAATCATACAACATGTGGCCTTTAATGAATGGCTTCTTTCACTTAGCATAGTGCTTCATGCATGTTGTAGCATGTGTCGGTTCTTCACTCCTTTTTATTGCTGAGTAGTATTCTGTGGTATGTATATACCACATTTTGTTTATCTATTGATGGATATTTGTGTTGGCTATTATAGCTACATTTTGGTTATTGTGAATAGTGCTGCTATAAACACTCTTGTATAAGTATGTGTTTGACTACCTGTTTTCGATTTTTTCAAGTATTTACCTAGCAGTGTATTGCTGGGTCACATGGCAATTCTATGTTTAACTTTTTGAGGAACTGCTCAACTGTTTTCCACAGTGGCTGTGCCTTTTTATATTCCCAGACCCTGAGCATCCTGGCGTCTCTGAGTTCTCAATTGTCACATGGGGTCTGGGCACACACGTGCAACAATGTAGAGGGCTCCAATTTCCCCACATCCTCACCATCACTTGTTACTCTGTTTTTGTTTGTATTTTTTTGCATCCATCCTAGTGGGTGTGAAGTGGTGTCTCTGGTTTGCATTTCCCTAATGACTAATATGTTAAGTATCTTTTCCACAGGCTTGTTGGCCATTTGTATTTCTTCCTTGTATGTCTATTCAAAATACTTGCTATTTAGAAAACACATCCTACCTCTGTCTACCCACTCTCTCATGGGTGCCAGAGCATTGTGAAGGGAGTGACTTTCTCACTGATTCAAAGTTACTTACTGCTCTGTGAGAGTATCACCTAAAACCACAGACAGGAAAACCCTGGATATGTTAGTTAAAGAACTTCTTGCTCTTGTGATAAATTAACCCCTAAATCTTAGTAGTTTACCCAGTACAAATGCACTGCATTGTTCTGTGACATTCAAATGCAGTGTGCAAAGGGGTAGAGGGTATTTGCTGTACTCAGTTCTGCAGGGGCCCAGGCTCTTTCTGCCTCAAGTTTCCCCCAACTTCAACTCTGGCTCCAGGGTTCACTGTGCAAAGAAAGAGAGAATGGATGACTTCCAGGGATGGTGTTGGGAGCTGGGAGTGGGGGAGTGGGGGGTGGTATGGGACTGGGGACCAGGCCTGCAAGAGTCAAAATCTCTCTGTCCACTTTCCACTGTCCAGAACTCAGTCACGTGGACCCAACTGAATTGCAAGGGAGCTGGAAGATGGAGTTTAGGTGGGTTCCCAAGAGGAAAGGGAAATGGAATCAGTGAATACCTAACCAGCATTGGCCACACGGACATGGCAGAAAGAGCTCTGGTTGGCATCACTTCTCTGCTACCTACCTGCCTTCAGGCCTCAGTTCCCACACGGATAACTGACGACAGTAGTACCAGCTGTGCCATGTGAGACACTGGGTATCTCAGGGCCAGATGAAATCCTGGATCTGCTTTATAATTTCTTGTTGATGAACCTTAAGGAGCTAACTCAGAGAGTCTCAAATGAAGGAGTCACCTTCTTGTGGGATGGCGTTTGGAAACACAATGAGGACATTTAGATGGCATATTAGTCCATTTCTGTTGCTTATAATAGAATACTTGGTACTGGGTAATTTATAAAGAAAATGAAATTTATTGCTTACAGTCTCTGAGGCTGCGAAGTCCAAAGTCCAGGGAACACATCTGGTGAAGATCTTGGTAGTGGTGACAGAGACCCAGGGGTCTCACATGGCAGAAAATGGCAGAGCAGAGAGAGACTAATCTCTCATGTACTCTCCTTTTGTTTTGATTTTGGCAGCTGGCTGGTACAGGGATCAAACCCTGGACCTTGGTGTTATGAAAACCATGCTCTCACCAACTGAGCTAACCAGCCAGGGCATCATGTGCTCTCCTTTTAAAGCCCTCAGAACCACGCCCTTGACAACCATTTTTAATCCACTCACTACGGCATGGTCCTACAATCTAATCACTTCTTCAAGGCCCCACCTTTCAATCACCATAATTGGCTTTCCCACCCTCAACAGTTACAGTGGGGGCCAAGTTTCCAATGTCTGGAACTTTGGGAGACACAATTTAAGCTTCAGTGAGTTTGGGAGGGGACATTCGATCCATAGCAGATGGTCACGTTGATTGGGGTGGGCTATGGGCTTTTAGTGGGTGGGGTCAGGGAAGCCAGATGCACAGCAAGGACCTTTCCTATGACTTTCAAGTGTGCCTTTGGACATTCATTCAGTGAATAACCTGTTTGCAATTAATTATCAGAACTTAGAATGAAATTCCTCTTTACCTATCAACATGAAGTATCTTTTCCTCTCAGGTCTTACTTGCTCTGAATACAGTGGGTTTTAGTCCAGAAACCACGTGTGCCTCTGCTGTCCCAAACTCCTGGTCTTTGCTACAGATCAGGTCGTGCTCTGACTTCTCTTCAGTGGACACTTGTTCATAAGAATGTGGTGGGAGTGTTTGGGGCTTTCATTATGTCACCTCCTACAATTGTGCCTGAGTGCTGGCTGGTTAAAATACTCATTAATTTATCATAAAGCAGTCTCCTCTTTTATATTATAGTTTAGGATTTATGTGGATTTGTTTTGTAATAATGTGTGTAGGTAGAGTATGTTGTCTGTGAATCTCATGTCAGGGCAGTAAAAGTGTGTTGGTCTGATGAGGTTCAGAAGTGCTGGATTCGGTCAGGGCTGAGTGACCCATGCCTGCTGTGGTGCTGGGCACAGAAGGGGTGCTCTTTTTTTTTAATTTTTATTTTTTAGGGCGGCTGGCTGGAATGGGGATATGAATCCTTGATCTTGGTGTTATCAACATGGTGCTCTAAGCAACGGAGCTAACTTAACCGGCCAGCGCAGAGAGTGCTTTCTAAATAGCTGTTGAAGGGCCGGCCCGTGGCTCACTCAGGAGAGTGTGGTGCTGATAACACCAAGGCCACGGGTTCGGATCCCATATAGGGATGGCCGGTTCGCTAACTTGGGAGAGCGTGGTGCTGACAACAGCAAGTCAAGGGTTAAGATCCCCTTACCGGTCATCTTTAAAAAAAAAATAAAATAAAATAAATAAATAGCTGTTGAAGGAAAGAATGGACCAAAGGATGAGCATAAATATTAAAATAGTGCAATAAGAAAATGTCCAGGGGGCCGGCCCGTGGCTCACA